ATGATAAACACACAAAGCATTTCAAACAAGTCATAAACATAATTAAGTTTCACTAATATTCTTAAAATGTACAATTATTCCTGAAACATTTGAATTTTTATGTACAAGCACATAGTGCCTAAGGATTAAGGAAGACCACTTGAGTTTTACAACTTAACTTTGTTTACAGATTAACCAATAAACCCTTTTTTTGTTTTTTTCTTCTGATTGAAATATTTTCTAAAAACACAGTCTATAAAAATAAAATTTAAAAAGCTCTTTGAAAAAAAATATAAAATCAAAGATGATTCTATTTGATATTACTTGATGATTTCACAAGTTAATAATAAAATATAATATAATAAGAAGTTATAATCATAAAGATATTCCTAGCTTAAGACATGCGAAAAACATTTTCAACATTAGATAAATCAGGCTTTTGGTTTCAAAGCTAGCTCAATTTGAAAGGGGTCGCAGGGAATGTCCACACTTCAAATATTTAAATTTGAGAAAAGTTTTAGCTGTTAACTGAACGAACAGGTGATTGTAGTAGCTTAAAAGAAATTTCAAGACCAAAAATATTTTAATTTTTTTCTTCGAAAGCGTACTTTATATAAAACTAAAAAATAATTCATTTTCAGCATTTTTAATTTGGATGAAGAAAAAATGGACTATACCTGCTTTTATTTACGATCGAGATGTATTCTTAAAAATACTAAATATTGAAATGAGCATTAATTACAAATTTAAAAAATTTCCTTTCCAGGAATGTATTTTAAAATATTTTGTTAAATTTTATTCTTCAAATTAGTTGCTTTTAAACATTCTTAAAAAAATACGAAAGTTTATGCTTCCGTTAAACTTAAAATAATAATAATGAATAAATAAATAAAGTAAATAGAAGGGAAGATAAATGTTTTTTTTTCTATTCAAAATCATTCAAAAAATTTGTAAAATACTAAAAGGTTATCAAGAAACTGAAAAAGCAAATTAATTTCGAAAAAAAAGAAGATTAAGCAGTTTTGCAACCAACTGACCTGAAGAACATAACAATGATATTTGTAATATAAGTAAAAATATTTAAATATGCAATATACTGTACTGTAACAATGTAAAAAATTCCGGATTAAATTACGGTAAAAAATTCTGCCACCTTAAGAGCCGGTACTTTTTACCATAAAATTTTACGGTACAATAATCTGATATACCGTAATTTTTATACATTAATATTTACTATAAAATAACAGAATCACTACACTTAAATAAGAATTATTGCAAAAATTACAATAGAAATGGATTTTACGATAAAATGGATTTTACGCATTTCTTTATTATCGTAATTTGATCCGGAATTTTTAGAGTGTAAAAACTCTAAAATTTAATAGTTTAAGTGATCAGAAAGTTTGCAATCAAAATAAAACTTATTAAAAATGAGATAAAAATGTTTCATTGTTCTTAATAACACTAGTTTATTTTATATTTTATTGTTTAAAATATAATTTGAATACCGGGATACTCCTTGATTATCCATTGCTACATTAATAACAAAAATGGTTACTGATAACAATCCAGTTTTACGAATTTGTAAGCTTATGTGAAAAGAATTAGCTGTTATCCAAATAAATGAAATTTTTATAAACTTGATTACCAACTTTTACATAATGTGAGAAAATTAAATGTTATCCAAATGAATCAAAAGCATTTTCTGAACTTGATTGCCGACTTTTAGATGAAAAATTAATTTTCTTAGGAAAAAAAAGTGACTCTACCAATTTTTATTCATAAAGTTATTGTTACATTTAAGGATAACACTATTGTGAAGATATGGCATTTTTCAATAGTGAAAAAATAATGAAACCGTTCTTTTTTATTTATTCCGTAAATATTTTACAGAAAATGAACGAGTAAGTAGATATGGAAGATGAATAATTCTTTTTCTTCTTATTTTTATTGCGAATGAAAGAGGTATACGTTGATTAGATGACACTAGCACAGCTTTAAATAAACAGATATACTTTTGTGCCACGAAAGAGGTATTTAGAGGTAGTGAATTCCTTTTACTCAATTATCTTAAAAGGTACATCTTATTTTATACATTTTTCATCCACTTATGAATTAAATTATTAAGAAGTTAAATTAATTACTTTATATTTTTCTATAAATTAATGAAAAGAAAATTATTATATTTTAAGAAGAAAAATAATGCATTTCTTTTGTTCGAAAGAAAATTATTGTACTTCTGGTACAGATAAATCTTTTCAAATTTCATTTTCTTTTGGAGGTTTTAAATAATGGTTACAATAAACTAATAAAGTTATATTTTTCTATGAATTAGAGAAAGGAAAATATTTATATTTTAAGCAGAAAAAATATGCATTTCTTTTTTTCAAAAGAGAATTATTGAATTCCTGGTATTGATTGATCTCTTCAAATTTCACGTTAAAATCTTTTCGAGGTTTTAAATAAAAGTAATAGTAAATTAATTACTTGATATTTTTTTTTATAAATTTGTGAAACGAAGACAATTGTAATTTAAGAAGAAAAACTAATGCATTTCTTTTGTTCAAAAAAAATCATCGTATTTCTAGTGTAGATAAATCTTTTCAAATTTCCCATTAAAACTTTTCGGAGGTTTTATATAATAGTACTTTGTCATACAATAAACAATTTTTATTTAAATTAGTAGTTTAGTGAAAATGCAGATTTCTCCATCCCCGATTGCTATAATATTAAACATTGGTACTATTAATAGTTTAAATAATAAAGATATTGCAAGTTTTGAAATATAAATCCATGTGCGCAGCGTGTAGTTTTTATTTATACAAATTGATGAATTCATCTGTTTAATATACATAGATGAAATGAATGGTACCAAATATTTACACTATATGATTGTTACAACTTTAAAAGATTGCTTTACAATTATATTTACTATACATGGCAAGGGATTAAATTACATATTTTCATGATTCAAAGTTTTCGAAAGCAATATTTTATTGCTCTTATTTATGATTATAATTCTAATATACAAGAATCAATAACTGCAAATCCTTATCACAGAATGGAGCATTCATATATATATATATTTATATACATGTATTAAAAAAATACGCCTTACTAAATAATTGTTATTTATTTACAATTTACACTTGAGTTGCATCATGAAAAATGAAGATACAGTATTTTTTAAACTGATTTTATGGGAATAAACACGTGAAATTACAGAGAAAATACATGGAGAAAAAAATTCTGGTAAAATTACCGTTCTGTATGGTAATGGCATTTCTGGTAAAATAAAAGTCATAATTTTGGTGAATAAAAACAAAAGATACGGTATTTAAACCATTTATTTGGTGATTTTCTCACTCATATGGTAACGGTTAACCAGGAAGTCTGGTTTTCAAAATTATACTTCTTATTATAACACATTTAATGAAAAATACAAAACTAAAACTTAAAAGTAAATGTAGCCAAATAAAAGGTTTTAATGCCACTCTATAAGGCATAATGATAAAATTACCAAATTTTACCACATTTACCGAATTTTATCACAAATTAAAATACAATTTTAATATACCAACACACATTATAAAACATTAAATTTACGAAAATCATTACCAAAGCGTTTCGAAAAAAATTACCGAGCTTTTTGGTGTTCGTCATAGAAACAGAAATATGGTTAATGTTACCATATTCGGGTAGTTTTTACCATACTTATTTTCTTTATGTAAATAGATGCTTAAAAATATTTTGAAGATCATGCACTATTTTAGATCCTTTTTGATAGTTTGAAAATTAAGTAAATTAGTTTGATTGAAAAACAATTTGAAAAATATCATATTACTTTTTATAGAAAAGATTAAGGCTTTTAATTAAAGTGCATAAAAAATTTTAAAATAATGTTATACCTATCATTTCAGAAAATTACAAGCAATTTAATTTGATCGTGATGAAAATTATTATAATTTAAAAGTGCAAACGAAATATCAAACATTTGATAAAGTTCTTTAAGTATTTCAAACAAAATAATAAAAGTTTTTTAAATTTTTGAGAAGACAGATAAGTTATTAAAGTTTAATGACTGATAGTTTAGTTAAAAATATAAAACATAGTATTGCAAACGTGTAAGACAGAATTTTTAAAAAGTTGATTTCCCTTATACTAATTGGAAGTTTCCAAAAAATATTTAATTTCAGAATTTTATATATTTCATTCGATACTTCGAAATCTGATATAACATTTCATTAAGTAAATACTTACTTATCTGAAAAAGAAAAAATGTTTTAATTTGTCCTTTCTGTATTTTATAAGTCTAAATTTTTTCAAAGTTATGAAAATATTATCAAAATAAAGAAAAATTATACCAATATGAATTTTATTTTTAAGCGAAAACGTAATTTATATGTTGTAGTTTTTAAAAAAATAAAAAAATTATTAAAGATTTTTTACAATATTTTCAAATCTGTCTTCAAAATTAAACTTTTACAAATTTTTTTACTTAAATGCAAAATTATTACATTCGTACACCAAAACTATAAATATGTTTCAGTATTAAACCAGTAGAAATTTTATGTTACACAGTAAAAGTTCCGGATCAAATTATTATAAAAAGTATGTTTATCAGTTTTTACCATAAAATCCCTTTTTACCATAAAGTTTCACAGAACCAAAAATCTGATGCACCGCAATCTTTACAGTAATGTTTACTGCAAAATCACTGTAATTAAATAAATATTACTGTAAAAATAAAGACGTAAATTTTTTTGTGTTAAAAATGGATTTTACGGTTAGAGGGATTTTGCATATGCGGCACTCACGATGGCAATACTTTTTATCGTAATTAGAACCGGAATTTTTTTAATGTACAATAATTTTAAAGAGATTGTATATTCCATTATTTTTGAAAAATCCAAGCTTGTATAATTTTCAAAAAAAAATTTTACTGATTAACTTAAAAAATTTTGAGATTATTTTAGAAACGCAAAAAAAAAAAAATCTGATATNAAAAAAAAAAAAAAAAAAAAAAAAAAAAAAAAAAAAAAAAATTAGCATTTTTTTTCTTTTTTATGCATTTTAAAATAATTTATGTTGATGGATGTGATTGGTTGTTGTCATGCATTGCTCGTTGATGATTAGCTTGTTGCTCCAAATTATTTTTGATATCTTCATATAGTCCTTTCATACGCTTTTGCCGCTCTTCTGCTTGAAGCCACAGACTAACTAGATCATTAGAGTCTGTGGTATTCGGATGATGTCACTGTAGCCTCGTCCAATAATTTGAGGCCATATTCAAGTCATTCGACTGTCCGGGTACTTGAACGGGAACAGAGACACCGGGAGAAATAAGACCTGTTAATAAACAAAATACAAATTATAAATTTAAAGATTAAATAAGCACATATAAAACCTGATAATTGTGTGCGTAAAAAATTTCGTTAAACACATTGGTTTGATGTTGCTCTATATAATGAACGTAATCATTGTAAAACTATCAGTGTCGTATTGGAATTGATATAAAAACCGTAATTAGCTCTGACTAATGGCATATTTTAAGTAGACAGTCATTAATTTTCATACTAATGGATGACAAATTTTAGGTAGACGATCATTAATTTTTCAACTAATAAATGACATATTTTAGGTCGACAATCATTAATTTTAACTCGAATAAATGTGATGTTTTAAATATACAATCATTATTTTTCAAACTAATAAATGACATATTTTCGGTCGACAATCATTAATTTGCAAAATAATATGTAACATATTTTAGGTAGCTAATCAATAATTTTCAAACTAATAAATGACGTTTTTAGGTAGACAAACATTAATTTTAAAATTAATAAATGTGATGCTTTAGGTAGAAAATCATTTATTTTCAAACTAATCAATGAGATATTTTAGGTACACAATAATTAATTTTTAAACTAATAAATGACACATTTTAGGCAAACAGACATTAATTTTCCAACTAATAAATGCCATATTTTAGGTAGACAATCATAAAATTTTAAACTAATAAATATTATATTTAAAAATAATTTATATCATGTTTTAAACTGATTAATGGCGTATGGACAAAAATTCACGAAACAAAATTAATTTAAATGAAAAAATTTACGCTACTCTTGAATACAATTCTCAAAGCAAACAATTTTTGTAAACAGCAGAGCACTTCTTTATCAGGATAAAAACGCCAATGGAAATCACTTTCTGATGGAGAGCGCTTTGCGCGTTTCAGACTTTGATGATTTCTTTAGAAATTTATTATTAAGTTTTCTAAGGTTTGTCTATTAAAATATTCAAAGACATATTTTAAACTTTGTAATGATATATTTTAGTTGATATCATTTAATATTACCAGCATGGTTATTATATACAAGTTTGAGTCCGAAGATTTCAAAGAGCAATTCCCTAACTTTCTACATTTTTAATATTTTCTCAGAAAAATTACTCAACATTAAGCATAAATATCGATATTTACATGCCATTTTTTTTACTAAATTGTACCATTATTGGGTAATCAAACTTAAAAAGTTTATTTCATGCAGTAATGTAATTCAAGTTGGCATCTTTTTGAAGTGAATTTGAGAGCTACGCGAACTAAATTCGCCCAATACTCTTAACAGTACCTTGACAGATAATACCTCTCACGGACATTGTGTCCAGAGATTGATTTGAGACCTTATAATATTAGTAATAATTAAGCAATTTTAATTTTTAATTTGCATAAAAATGATAAACAACAAATAAAACAAAGGAGTGTAGCGAACATTTCGGTGTAACAATTTATATGTGATATTAAAATTAAGAAAACTAGTTAGAAAACTAATTAATTCAAATTAAGTTAGATCAATATGTAAACAAAAATAAAAAACATCAGTGATCATAGATGAAAAATATAATTAGTATAGTATTCAGAACTTTTTAAATGTTAACAAAATAAATCTTTAGGCTTATTTTTTAACTTTAAGATAAAATATGAGCCAAATATTCATTAAATACACTGTTGATAATAACCATAAAAGTTGACTAATCGCAATTAAAAATGTCGTTCTGGTGTGATTTCTTATAAAGCTTTAGTTCATAAAGATCAGTCCAAAATTTTTAGGAAATTTTATAATTTTTTATGTATTATCTCCTTTAATTTAATAATGAAAAATTATATCGAACAATTTATATTATCTTGTAATACTTTTTGAGTTCTAAAATTACTATTTCGATTTGGTGGTTTTCTTGTCTCAACTCACCTAGATGTACTCAGAATTTCTGCATTAATAACTAGTTTTCCAATAAGAGTAATAACATGAAAAGAAATTGATGTAAAAATTTAGAAAATATTCAAACAAAAATCCCTTGCATGTAATGCTATATTGTACTACTTTTTGGGTTCGAAAATTACGACTTAGATTTGGTGGTTTTTCAGTCGCAACTGATTCAGATATACTTCGAATTTTTGTACTAATAACTAGAAACTAAAACAACAAATAACATTCAGCAAACCAAATATATATATATATA